GATGGCTGTGTCCAGTTTCATTAATAAGTTGCTCATTTTGTACCATGATCGTCAAGATTCTATTAAATCTTAATTAGTCATTTAGCTCTTAATTATGCTATTTACATGGATTTAGATGTTGTTCCAGTTAGGATTCAGAGAGAATATTTTGATGCTGTAGCTTTTATAAGAATAATACTTGCATTTGATCATCAAGGAGTCTCAAAGTACTTCACAAGGTTTTATTGTAAAGTGTAGTGACTGTCTATATTTAGGCGAATATTGCAGCCAATTTTCACATAACAATATCCCGCAAACAGCTATGAAGTTAATGATTAATTTTATCTGGGGATCGTTGGCCAGGATACTGAGAGGAATGCCATTCCCTTTTTGAATAGTGTCATGGGATCTTTAACATCCACCTAAACAGACAACGTACTTCAGTTTAAAATTTCATCCGATGGACAACACCAGACTATGAGCTCAAAGTCCCACCGTAGGGTCTTAAACGCACCACTTTCTGACTCAGAGCCAAAAGTGCTACCAACTGAGCCAAATTTACATCTTCAGGAGTGTGGTTCATGAGAATTGTAAGAGTTCTTTATTAAGAAATCTCATTAATAAATATTCTTTTTTTTAATCTCAGTCCAGAGAGACCATCCAGTCACCATGAGTAAGATGTTAACTGTGTAATATTCTCTTCTTCAACTGATTAGTTTGATCATCACAGCACCAGTGCAAGTGGTGTGCAGTCTGATCCATGATTAGTTTCCTTCATGATAAGCATTCCATGTGAGACATTTCTTATATTCTTAATGGCCAAAATAATGATTTCTAATATTTCCCCAGCTAAGCGATGATAGTACAGTAATTCACTAGCATCCACTCAATCCTGGAGAAATATTTTCAACAGGAAATGTGATCACCATTGAGCTGCAAAAGAATTAAATAAGAAAAATAAATTTGCAAATGTCACTCCGGTTCTAGTTTAGATTACAATATATTTTAACAAAGGGCATTATAAGCATAATGGCTCCAGAACCAAGCAGGATTTAGTGAGAAGAACAGGACAGAACATTTTGTAGGTGGGTAACCATTAGAGTCCATTTATTTTAATAGGACAAACGTCCGAGTTAATAGCTTTCTTCAAATGGGTGAATTGTAATGCTTCAGAAAATGAATACTCATCCTGAAATAATTCTGTATAGAACAAAATATACTCGAACACCTTTTGTATTTTTGAAGCTCATTTTCCTTCTATCACCAAAATTGCATGGAACAGAAAGAAAATGGAAGTTTTGGGAGTAAGAGGTGAATAGTTTATCCAGTCATATATAAAAGCCATGCTTAGTTCTAATTAATGATCGCCTATTTAGTAACATTTTCCTCTCAGTCTAAGCATTTGAAAAGTTATAAATTTATGAACTTTGGTGGTGAGAACATTTGGTTTATTTATGCTGACACATACATTTTGGGGGCACTTATATCGCTGGGAGTATTGTTGGAGATCTGGCAGTACAGCAACCAGAATTAGAGAAATTAAAGCATAGGAAAGGCCAATAGAGTGAAGGTCTTACCTCCTTCACTGGAGCTAACCTACACTAAACCTAATAATCTGTTCTATTCCCACTCCTTTCCATATTCCTCCTCTTCAAATCCTTATTCATTTAAGTGTTCTAATTTTCACATTCTCAAGAGCCGTATGAGGCAAAGCATTCCATAATATGTTAACCCTCTGTGTGAAAAAATGACCTGTAACATCTCCCTTAACTTGTGGGAATAATCGTTCACTGTCTATCATTTGGAATTAAGCGGCGTTTCCTTGGAGCTGAACGGGCTCCAAGGTGACATGCCTGGCAGCGGAATGTCGGATTCGAACCAGCTCTACGTTGGGGTCTGGGTTCGTGAGCCAGACGGGTCCGCAGTATTTCAGGGCACTGCTGATGTGCTGATGTGCACAACCAGACTGTCTCATTGGCAGGACCTGGAAGAGCAGACCAGTCACGAGGTGCAGGAAGTCATCCCACTCAGCTCCTGTTACGCCTGCAAACCAAAGCCCTAATGGGTAGGGTGGTCCAAGCTGGATAAGCAGTGGAAAAGCTTGCCGGTCAGCAATATCAATGGCAAGCTATGCGGTTTTAGCTGGTTAGACTCCAGCAGTTACTCCAACGCACACTCTGAGGTTCTCAAGCCTTGGCTCTTACCAATCTGCACCAAATACTTTCCGGAATTAGGTAAACGGGATGCAACAATCTATCTCTGCAATTTCCATGAGTAGGTGGATGAATGGAAATCTCAGTTTAGTTTGGATACTCTTCGGCATGATGATGGGTTTCCGCATGGGTCAGATACCTGGCTGATCAATTATTTTTAAATCCTTAGGAAAAACTTGCAGAATTTTTACAATGCCTTTACATCCCCTGCTAACCAATGGAAACAACTCATTTTTTTTCAATCCTATCCTTGTAACTATAGACTAATTTTACAATTGCCGAATTAGTTTAGTTGCATTATGTAGACTTTGCGTTTTATATTCTTAATGATCGTTTTAGTACTGATGGATATTACATTCTAAATACAACTGTTAAAGCAGAGACTGGACTACAGCAGCACGTTGAATAAAGATTTGAGACAAAATATCAAAATTTAAATTGTAGAAATGGGATAAAATTAGACTGTTCCTTTTGGGCAGTGAGCACCAGTACACACAAGATGGGCTGAATGATTTCTCTTTCTGCTGTATTCATTCTAAAATTTATTTTGGTCAGCCGATTATCTGACACATGGTGGCATCCATCAACATGCTGATTATCAAATCCAGATCGAGTTCAACATAGGAATGCCACTATAACATGGAAAATTCCCCGTGTTTGGAATGCAATGCGCATTCTCTCAGTGGAGGATGTCCACCACCCAAGTGACTAGTCTGCCCCTCGAAATCCTACCGATGAAGCGAGCTGACTGGTCTGTGATCAGCCATGCCCTGGATTACACTGGACTCGCCTGGCTCAGAAAGTGGATTACCATCACGGCCACAAAGGGTTGAATCAATTCCATTGCCAAGAATATCACTTGGAGACAACTCAACTCCAAGGAGACACTGTTTACCTCTCCACCAAAGAGAATAATCAAGTCATATCAAATCTAAGTTTCCAAAATTTGATTCAGATTATCCCAAGTTTGTTGAGGCTCCATCATTCTACAGTAACATTCAACACCCCATTCTATCTTTCCATTCATAAAGCACACAGAGAAGAACAAAATCTTATAAGAAAAAGCCATTCTGCCATCAAACTCATTCCTTCCATGGACTGTGCAAATCTAACCCGTCAACAAAAGATCTCTGTGCAAATACTGTCTGATCCTAAAGTCAATGAAGTAAAATCTGTATAATCTATACTAATAAAGACGAAGTGTCTGTCTGTGTAGCTGACACTCGTGCAATAACCGATTGACACAGAGACATGATTTATACCTCATCAGAAAGGTCTTGCAACTGGCAGTGTCATGGGCATATTTTTTTTTGGGGGGATCCCTTATTGCTGATGAGCTATATTAAAAAATGTTTTAATTCTGCCCCAAAATATGAGGTATGCATCGTTTTCTGCAACTATGTAGCAACAGACGAAAGCACACACCATTCAAAGAGATACATCTATATTCTGTAAACAAATGAATGGCACTTTTTTTCTCATGTTGTCATGGGAGCTAGAATCCTCCTATGTGGAACAGACGCAGAGAGAGACTGAGATAGTGAGGGAGACAGAGAGACTGAAATAGACACAGAGAGTGAGAGAGACTATATTATAAAGTATAGTGACTGTGTGTTTTGTTGGAGAGACAGAGAAAGACTGAGTGAGAGAGACACTGAGAGAGAGAGAGAGAGAGAGAGAGAAAGACACTGAGAGGGAGAAATTGAGATAGAGACAGAGAGACTGAGAGAGCAGGAGGCTGGCAGAGAGGCTGAGCGAGAGACTGAGCGAGAGTGAGAATGAAAGAAAGAGAGGATGAGACTGGGAGAGAGACTGAGAGAGACTGGGAGAGAAAATATATAAAAGGAGTCCTCCCACTGAGCCCTCCCAAAGAGGAATCTGCCCAGCTGAGTATGGATAAAGATGAAATATCTGTCTGCGTCAATTTACATTCCAATTCCATATTGGAGCCCTTGGTTGCAAGCGAAGCTGCAAAGGGGGCAGCTAATATATTTATATTCTCACACACTGTATTTCTACAGGATTGCTGCTCCCCCCTACCTAGCAGCATATGAATCATATAAATTCTAACTCCAAAAGAAATATATATCTTAGTTTGCACAATTTCCAACTGTCCTCATACTGTCTAATACTACTCTCAAGCAGACCATTATCTAGTTATGTTTTTTGAAGCAACTGTTTGACCATCAATTGCTTCATTGGAAGTATGTTCAATCTGAACTCTTCCACGAAAATAACCAACATTTACATGTTTTCTCCAGTTCACTGCACTAGATAGAAAATGGTTTACTTGTTCATCAATTGGATGATAAAATAAACTCTTACAATCTCATTTCAAAACAAACCTTCCTGCGCAAGGTAAGGTCTGGTCTTCTGTTAAAGAAAAGCTAACGGTTTTGATAAAAATTTAATTCAGAGCAGCTCTACTGTAACATGTGCCTTTGGCTAATAGAGAATTTTAAAAAAATCTTTGTATCCAATTCAATACACAATACATCATGTCCAAAATTAATGACGAGAACGCCTAAACATATGAAAGCGAAGGGTACGAGCAAAAGAGAGCAGTAAAAGAAGAAAACAAATTGTAAAAAGGCAAAAGCACTCACTTTGCATCAGAATATTTTGTCGATGTGAATTAGGAATTTTACAATGACAGATAATGCTTTGGAGTTTGAGATTTCATTATTGCAGAGTGGAGAGGGCAGGCAGCAGACAGCATTTTGTACAAGAAGGCAACACAGTACAGTGTTGTGCACATTAAGAATAGGGGTCACCTTCACTGTAAAATATTTGTGTTGAAGACACCTTCTGACAGATGTCTTAACCATTTCTATCCAAGAACACAAGCTCATTCCAACTCCATTCCCCACTGCCACACAGCAGCACGTACAATTAAGTGATTATTTTAAGCTAAATAACAGAATACTTTCCCTTGGGTTGAAATCCAGACCTCAGCTGCTGTACATGTACTTCCGTGCAACACTCTGGCTGTCCACGAACACTGGATCCACTGCTGCCACTTTTGCTGCGATGAAAGAGTGTATGCAGTGCAATACTGCCGTTAGATCAGGAAATTCTAGCTCCTAGAACAAAACAGAAATGATCTTATTAGGCATTAGATAGAAGGAGCATTATATATCCTAGGTCATTAGAGTGAGAGGTTAGAAGAATATTCTTATCTACAGGTATGTATTAGTCTATGATAAAGTAGTTGATTCTGGGTCAATCAGAAAGTGGATTATAGGATGGATGAATATTAAGAGTGCTCGATTGCGACTGAAGTGAGGATAGGAAATGTTTAAGGTTCAATAGTGAATTCATAGAAGTCAGAAACAATTTACAGCACAGGAGGCCACTTGGCTCAATGTGTTTGTGTTAGTGTTAGCTCCCTTCCAATGGTGCCGTTGCCTCTAATCGAATTCCTCTGCAGTTTATCTTCAATATTATTTTCCCACAATAATTTTCATTTTAAATGCTGTTATGGAACCAGGTTTAAAAGCCATTTCTAGTAAGTCATTCCACATTCTAATACTCTGTAACAAATTGATACATTAAATATTGATGAACTGTGGAAGGAGCAGACTTGAATACACAGCTTCCGACAACCCAAGAGGCCCTAGACTAGCTGACACTGGTAAACTTTCCCTATCTTCAGCAATATTTCAAATGTACTGGGATTACTCCTCTCGAAGTACATCCTGTTAACAGCCTGCCTTAGTTGGTAGCACTCTTGAGTCAGAAGGTTGTGGTTTCAAGTACAAAAGTTGGGACTTTGAGCTCAGAATTTAGGCTGACACTCCAATACAGTGCTTGGGAGTACTGCATTGTTGGAGGTGCCGTACTTTGGATAACACGTTAAACTGAAGATCAATCTGGCTGTTCGTCTGGACATTATAAAACCTGTCGCACTATTCAACTACCCTGAGACCACACTCACCAAAGTCAGCAATAATACACTGCAACCAGGGCTTACTGTCCCTCATAATCCTCCTCAACCTCTCAACTGCCTTTGTCACTGTTGACCACTCAAATCTCCTGCACTGTCTTTTAATTCATAACCAGTCTTCATGGTACAATACTTACATAGTTCGATTCCTACCTATCCCAATGCTACCATTACATCTACTCCAACTGCTTCTCCCATCCAAGCCCAAAGGGGCACCTCTGTTCTAGGAGTCTATCCTTAGTCCTCTCCTTTGCCTTTTGGCAACAACAACAACTTCCATTTATATAATATCCTTCATGCAGGTCTTGGAGTGTCATCCGCGATCATTGTGATGGTTCCCATTTATATGCTGATGAGACTCAATTCCACCTCTCTCCAACCACCTTGAATTCCAGTATAGCTGCTGATCTGGTTAACTGCATGGGCAATATTGAGTTCTGGATGAGCTGCTACTTTCTGCAGGTGAAAGTTAACAAGGCACCTTGCTTGTCCTTCCTGGCTCTGATTCTATCAACATCCCTAGTTGCTCACTTAGCTTGAACCAGGTGGAAGAGCTCCGAGATATGATCCTGTGTGAAGGGCACTATATAAATGCAAGTTGTTGTGGTACCCAAGGTTGGGTTATGTGAATTTGAGGAACTCTGCTTGAGTCGCTAAGGTACTATACCTGTAGCTAAATAATGGAAAAGACTGAAATAAAATAAAAAAATTTAACACGGAAGTGTGTGGCAATCAAGTGCAGTTCTCAACCTCTGCCAATGTTATTTAGAAATAGGCCCAGCTTTATTAGAGCATCATCAAGGTGTCAGGCACGCCTGTGATTGTTGATATCATTGTACAAGACTACAAGATTAGTTTGGATGAAGAAGGCCTTTTGTGCCATTTGATCTCATCCTCTCAAAATATCCACTCTGTATAATTTGATGATCATCCATAAGCAGTGGTGGGAAAGGACTGTTATATCACAAGAGGTTTCCTCATTCAAAGTTTTATTTCTTATTTTCTTTTGTTTTTTGTACCATAGTAGTAGATGTTCATTCATTAAGGAATATTCATCTAAACTGGAAAAGGAGATCCTGGTTTCAGAAATCCTTGTTAACATTGTTTTCCAGTAACATCTCAGGTAACTAAGCAACGTTATCTCCAGATTTGGATTTGATTCCCTATTGGACAGCTCAGCCTTCTAGCTCTTTTAATATTGATAAAATGAGCAACGTTTTCAACACCAACTTGCATGTATATAGCGCCCTTCACCCAGGATAGCATTCCAGAGGTCTTGGCAGTAGCAGATCACAACATCGAACCAGGGGAAAGGGGAGGTGACCACAGCCACGGTTGAAGAAGAAGATCTTCAGGCGCGAGCTGAAGGAAGGGGGCAAGGAGGAGAGACAGAGGGAGCATGTTCCAGATTTTCGGGCGTAGTCGCTGGAAAGCAGCCACTGGTGGTGGAACAGAAGATACGAGGGACAAGCAGGAGGCCAGATCTAGTTGAGCTTTACCAATAGGTAAAGACAGTCCCACTGTTGCCTATGTGTGCTTTGCAAAGATTTATTGAAGTCCCAGATCTAAAGTCACTTTCCCACATGCAACGATCTTGGGTAACAGGGTACACGAATGAGCAGATAGGAGACTATTCCACAATAATGGTACCGATAAGGGGAGAAATTCACTAAAGCCTAGATTTACTCTATTTATTCACAAGCAATGGAGCAAAAAAATTTAAAAAAACAATAATAAATTGGTCATTTTCAATCCACGACTGTTTGTGGGACACTGCTGTGTGCAATTGGCTGCCAGGTTTTGCCCACAAATATTCAGTCAATTCACTTTACAGCATATTCTGTGAAGCGCTTTGAGAGGTCTAGAAGACGTGAAAAGTGCTATATCAAATGCAAGGATTATTATTTCATTATTATTATTTAGCAATTCAGAGTGTCCAGAATTTGGCAAATTCTTAAATATAGTAAAAAATTTGAAGCCAGTTTTCTGTTAAGTTCTTTTAAGAGAATTTGACAGAAAACATTACAGTTAAGACTGAATTTAACAATTTATCAAATCCCACACTCTTCGAAATGCTAAACAAATAGAGTAAGCGTTGACCCAGATACATAATTATTGTTGGATTTTTTCTCATAACAAATGTGGGCTCTTCTTATTATGCCTAATAATTTAAAGCTGCCTCTAAAATTTATGAGTTGAAGTAATGTAAGGATTGTCATGTCAACTTTAAACACAACACTCTGTCCTCACTGCTGTGTCCTATTTCCTAAGAAGCTGTCGTTTCCCGATTTCTACCGTATTCCTTTCCCCATATACTTACCATATACTACCCTTCAGCTCTTATGAAACTGAAGAGTAAATAAATCACATCAATTAATGTATGATATTGTCTTAACAAAATGAAATGTACCCAAATGACTACCAGGGAAGTGACCCCCTCCCCCACACAGTGAAGAACGGCCTGAATGACTTTGAATGCAGTCAGAAATATAAGAGTAATGATCTTACTAAATCGTTTTTGAGCTTTCAGCAGCATCTGCTCTGTCTCAGAAATAAATTTGCTCACAACCTAGTTGCAATATTTCTTCAAAGAAAAATTACTTTTAGCTCAATACTGTGAACCTTACTGTCACAAACCACGTACTGTTTCGAATCACTGCAAGGAGACCAAAAGGATTTTCTCCTATTCAAATTTGAAGTGATTTAAGGCTTGCAACCAGGTCAATCATTGCACATGAAGGATTCTTGAATAACTTTTGCTACAAAAGCGTACTTTTCTTATTTTTGTACCTGATGAATTCTTAGAAAAGTCATTTTCCTGAGTTACCATTTTTCCTGGAGTTAATTTGAAAGGCAGATCATCATAAATGTGTGTCTGATTTGTCAGACTGGAATAGAATGGGTTGCTTTGTAATTTAATAATAATAATCCTTGCATTTGATATAGCGCTTTTCACATCGGGAGGAAGTCCCAAAGTGCTTCACAGAACACACTGTAAAGTGAATTGACTGTATATTTGTGGGCGAACGCGGCAGCCAATTGCGCACAGCAATGTCCCACAAACAGTCGTAGATTGAAAATGACCAATTTATTATTGTTTTTGGTTTTGGAGGGATTATTATTAGGCGTGTGGAGTAAGGAAACTTGCCCAAGGTTTCGCCCTGCCTGGAATTGAACTCAGGTCTCTCGCTTGCAAAGCGAGTGCTCTAACCACTGAGCTACAGGACTCCACGGCCCACAAATAACAGCTCACCTTCCCCCTCCCCCTCTTCTGTGACCATTACCACATCATCTGAGTCTCAGACCCCACTCTCTGGTCTGCCTTTTTTGTTGCAAATTCCCCGCCCCCCCCACTTGGTTTTGCATTATTAGCACCTCTATTCCCCCGCTTTGTTGCAAACCCCCACTTTGTTTTGCATCATTAACACCTCTTGAACCCATCATCCCCTGTCCTCTACCCCCATTTTCTCCTTTGTCTTCCTTGCCCTGCCTCTCCCCTCTCTGTTAGCCGTTAAAAGCCTCTCCCTCCCAACAAAGCGAGTGCTCTAAGCACTGAGCTACAGGACTCTATATAATAGAATATACCTCAATACCCTTTTTTTTAGATATTGTCACTGTAAAATAATATTATCATATTATCACTAACCCTGAACTGTCCCTTTCTCTTGCTGTCACAATGTGGACACAAAGTATGGCCAACTGATGACTACTTTCCTTGGAAGGGAGGTAAGCAGGAATCTCCTTCGAGCTGAACTGGTCAAAGGGGGCAAAGGTATGTCAAACTCGAACTAACTGTCTGTGGCGCTCTCAGCAGTCAAGTTTCTGAGCTAAGTGGGTCTGCAGTACCCCAGAGCACTGCTGTTGATAGCCGAGCCATCCTGGCAGGATTTGGAAGGGGAGACTAGTCACTGAGGACAGGGAATCTTCCCACTCAGCTCCCGTTAACCCTGCAAGGCAAATCCCTGACAGGTAGGGTAGTGCAGTGCAAAAGCTTGAGAAGTATATTCAATGGCAAACTATGCAGTATCAGTTGGTTAGACACCAGCAGTACCCCAATGCGCACTCTGGGGTCCTCAAGCTTTAGCTCTTGCCAACCTGTTCTTAATTCTCTCCGGAATTAAGTAAGCAGATGTGTCCCTCCAGGAAGAGAATGTGCATTCCAATAAATATCTCCAAATTTCCATGTATAGGCAGCATACATGGAATTCTCAGTTTGGTTTGGATACTCTTAAGCATGGTGATGGGTTTCCGCATGTGTCAGACACCTGGCTGACCAAAACATGTGCATATTCAGTTGTATTTTGGGAGCCAGGTTTCTGCATTTCTTAAAAAAAATAGCTTCCAAATTAAGACTAAATTTAAGAATTTTCTACAATTCTCCACCACCTTCAATTTTAAGGAAAAATGGTCTTGAGATGTTAAAACCAGTTTTGAATTTCAGGCCTCTGATCTGATAAACTAGTTGTTGATCCAACTCATCTTTGTAAAGCATTTCAAAACACGATCCTAGATGAAAGGTGCAAATTATTTTTGTTATAATAATTAGTGATAATGGGCTCTAACTTGTGTGCTAAATTTACACATTTATCCTTTTGGAATTGCCAGGATGTGCCATGTTCACCCCCACCATCTCCATCATTACTGTTCACAATGGTAACAGCTCTGAAGCCAGGTCAAACATTGGACTTTAAGGACGTACATTGTAATTTGTGTGAAACTCTGCAGTCTGGTCTGTCTGTTATTAGTCTGGACCGCATGGACTGGCTGTATTTCCAAGAAATTCCTGCACACTGATCATGTGTGATATACAACACAATTTCCATTTATGTAGCAGCTGATAATGTGCAGGAAACACCACTGATATCACTTTGTGAAGAAATTCATACCACTGGCACTTCCTGCACATATTGTGCATATGCCTTGGAGTTACCTTGTATTTTCTTCACAAATGTTGCAAATTACATCATGTCAGTTAACAAGCACTTTACAAATGGGAACCTTAAATTAAAGGGGATATGTAATCCCCATGAACCCTGCGATGTTTGCTTATTAGTAAAGACTAGAGGTGGGAACATTTTTTTGTATCCAGTGCATTCGAGTCACAAGGCTTGTGTTCCATGTTTTTCGTGTACCTTCATCTCAATCTGCCTGGTATCTGTATTCTGAAAAAGCAGTTTCACTCGAGTTTTCCCATCATCAGATGATCCTTTGAGCTGCGAGAACTTGAATCTCCAGAGAACATTCTGTAAGGTAATAAAGTCTTAAGAGTGCCATCAGTTATCTCCTGACAGACCGAATAAGCAAGTGATATCTGACACGCATCATTGATTTTAAAGGAAAGCATTCTGCGAGCCTCAAGCTGTGAGCAACAATGAGGACATCAAAAACATATCAATTGTTCATTACCAAATTTAGTTGCTTTTTTTTGGTTACAACTACTATATCAAATGCAGGGATTGTTATATACATTTCAAACGCCATTCTCAGCAATGCTTCACCCTTTTTACCTCAGCGCAGTTTTTATCATTCTGTCAAACGTCTTTATTCATGTGGTCTGAAAGAACCCCACAGTAAACCCATCAATATTGTCAATCTACAAATGTAAGGCTGTTCAAGAGAGGTTTCGGGTTTTATATGTGGTAAAACGTGACCTGTGATTCCAGCGCTTTGGGACGTCCTCCCGAAGGCGCTCTATAAATGTAATTTTGTTGTTGTTGTTGTGTTAATTGGCACTGCTGACAGTTAATATGGTCAACGAGGACAGTCGATGACCAAAGTCAGTCAGTGACTACAGCCCAGTAAACCTACTCCCCCAATCTGTTATGTGGCTGGATCGAATTTGGTCGAGGCAGATATTAGCCTGTCAGATAGCGGCAACCCGTCTTAACCCTAATTTCTGATGTGCAGGTAAGCTGTTGTCCCATTACCTGGCAGTTCAATAGAATGATGCATGCGTGGAAAATCCAATGGCTTGGGCCCAACCATTTTGATGGAGAGGATTCACACCTCAGGGAATCTAGATTGTCGTTAGCTATCAAATGGCCACATTGACTACATTTAGCAACGATAAATCAATGAAGTCCTACTTATCATTAGTGATCACACATCACAGTTTGCAATTTTCAGCCTCATATGTTTTTCAATTGAACTTCAAACATCATAAACAACATGATATATTCTTACCTTAGTGTTATTATCGACACACAAAAATCCGACAGCAAAGTCTATTGTGAAGGACAATGCTTGGCCTTGCCAGGTGCATCCATACGTCTTAGACTAGAAAAGAAAGACAGATAAGAAATGTTTAAAACAAAACACAAGACCTAGCTATATATATATTATATATACGATTCCACAATATACTCCAGAGTACCACTGATGATAGCCCAGTCAGCCTGGTTTATCAGCAGTGATTGTTCACTAGGGGCAGAGACACTTCTCCCTTGGCTCCTGTTAACCAGATGAGCCAAAGCCCTAATGGGTAAGATGGTCCTAGCTGGGCAAGCAGTGGGAAACTTGCCAGTGTTCTGAATGGAAAGCTATGTGGTTTTAGCTGGTTAAACTCCTTTAGTAACCCAATCCCTTTGTGGAAATCTACACATAATAATCTGTTGAATTAGCTAAGTAGACTGTATGTGAGCACATTCACAGCAAAACACCTCAAGTGCTTTGAGGATGTCTCAAAGGAAAAGAAAGATAAGACATGTTATCTTTCTTTCTTTGAAGTGATTTGAGGATATCTCAAAGCACTTCACAGGATAATTTGTGTGATTTGTAGGAAACCACAGCAACCGATTTGCACACTGAAATGTCCCACAAAGTGAATGACCAATTTTATTTGGGGGTTGTTGGCCAAGATACTGAGATAAATTGTCTTCTCTTTTCAAATAGTGCCATGAGATCTTTAACGCCCACCCAAACAAGGAGACAGGACCTAGGTTTAATGTCTCATCCAAAGGACAGCAACTCCAACAATGCTGTATTCCCCCAGCAGTGCAGTGTAATGTCAGCCTAGACTGTACAAATTCAGAGTGCTGATGGGAGGCATAAATCCACAACTTTCTAATTCAGAGGTAAAAGTGCTACCAACTGAACCAGGCAAATGACTGCCTTTAGGGTAAGTAGGTGTTCAACATTAATTGTTCCTAGAGCCCAAACCTATATGAAGGATCAGCAAAGTTGTTTGCTGGGTTTCAGTATATCCTGTTGTGTGACCTCTCAACGATGTGGTAAGGCGTTATATCAAATGCAAGGATTATTATTATTAAGAAATGTATTAGAATAAATGTGGTTAAAGAATGTAGATTTAATGTTGTGCTGTATATGATCTGAAGCTTGCCTCGCAAGTGAGAGGACCATGGTTCGATTCCCAGCCAGGTTGGGGTGAAACCTTAGGCAAGTTTCCTTATTACCACACACATCTCTGTTTACCCAGAAGTAAGTAGGAACCTGCGTGTTAGTCGATTAGTGGATCACTTTCTGAGGGATAATAACCCTTCCCCGCAAAAAAAATAATAATATGGTCATTGAATCCTCAACTGTTTTTGGGACACTGCTGTGTTCAATTGGCTGCCGTGTTTCGCCCACAAAATATACTGTCTCTACACTTTACAGTGTATCCTGTGAAGCGCTGTGAGATGTCTTGACTCTATCCCCCAGTGCCTTCGCCTTGCTTCCTCCCTTTCCTCCTTCAAAGCCGGTCTCAAGACCTTCATCTTTGACCGTGCCTTCAGCTCCCCTCTCAACTCTCTACCCCCTCCTCGCCCCCTCCCTTCCCTTCCCTCACGCTGACCATTACCCCCCCTCCTCACCCCCTCCCTTCCCTTCCCTCACCCTGACTATTTCATTCTTCCTCGCTCCCTCCCTACCCTCCCCTCACCATTTCCCCCCAGTCGGGTCCTGACCCAACTGCCCAGCGCCTTGGAACATAATCCCGACGTGAAAAGCACTCTATAAATGGAATCTTGTTGTTGTTGTTGTTGTTGACAACATGATAAGGAACTTTATCGAATGCAAGGATTATTATTATTATTATTTATCCTGAGTTCGCAACATTAAACAAGACTTGAAGCAACAATGGCAGGTATCGGGGGAGTATATTTGCGCTTGTTCATTAATTACTCTTCAGCCTGCTGTGCCACAGGACAATCCAATAGTTTTACCCCTCACAAAGCATAGGAGACACTGCACAAATTGGGAGACATTGCTTCTAGCTTCAACTCATACTGTCAAATCATCACTCTTATTAAGGATCACATAAAACTGTTTGCAGACTCAACCCCAAGCCCTAAATCTCCCAAAGGGAAACTGCAAAGACACTTCCTGATCTCCAAAAGCAACCAAGCAAGAGAACATTCACCCAACCGTCCCCACTATCCACTATTCTACCTCCAGACTTAACCTTGCAGATAATTGTAAATAATCTCAACTTAATTGTTTACTGTAGCCCTGAGCTCCAAGCGCTATTTAACCTTTAATTGCGGTTAACTCTAATTTACACTTCTAATCATCCAGGTCAATAGCTGCAATCTCAAACTCCTTCAACAACATATATATATATATATAAAATACAAGAAAGAGAGCACTGAGAGATTCAGATGATATTGTGAAACTCACAATAATATTAAAAATAATAATAATTCCCTTTGTAACGTTGTTATTTTGCTCTGCTCTCACTTTCTACCTAATCTCTCTTTTTTGATTTTACATTGGTTTGCATTCAGTGAATTATTGATGCAATGAATCCACCAACTGTGTTACAATCCTAGCTAACACCAATGTAGATAAATCTCAGTTAGTAGATTGTCTTTGTTTCTTAAGGCAATATGCAAGTTCTTTTTCGTTCATTTCCATTATGATTTTTTTTGGACATTGCTGATGATGAAAGATATCACATAGCCTCTTCGCACCAGAATGCACCAATTTCTTTGACTATTTACAGGCACACTGCAAGGCTAATTTCTGGCCGTTATCTACTCAACTGAGAAGTTGATACCAAATATCATATAAATCAAATAAATATGGCTCTAAAAATATTTATTTGTTTAAGGATTAAAAATCCTGCCAAAACAGAGGGATCTACAATTGTAGCAGCTTGTGTTTGTTTACAGATTGTTCTTCAACCAAGAAAAGGCTGATATCAAAACCAGTTTATTTAATTCCCTTCACACAGGATAGCGTCTTGGAATGCTGTACAGTGGCGGGGTTTAATGCTGAGCGTTGGAGAAGCGCAGGAAGAGGATGACCATAGTTTGCGGTTGAATAAATAGGTCTGAAGGTAATGTTGAAACATAGAGGGGTTATAATAATAATAATAATATAATTATTGGGTTGAGGTGGAAGGATTGAGACAGAGAGTTCCAGAAGCTGGGGGGTAAATCCTACAAAAATCATGAAGCAAAATGCTGACCGCAAGACTATTTTAGATCCCATTTTGGATTAGATTTGCATGATTGTTTAGTAAATATGTATTTAAATTCCGTATTTTCAGACAAAAAGTCAGATGTCATCATTAATAATCGCTCAAGAAAAGAAAGGAATAATAATTTGGTCACTCAATCCACGAATGTTTGTGGGACACTGCTGTCTGCAATTGGCTGCCGAGTTTCATCCACAAACTATACAGTCAATTCATCTTACAGCATATTCTGTGAAGTGCTTTAAGACTTCTAGAAAACGTGAAAAGTGCTATATCAAATGCAAGGATTATTGTTATTATTAAGGCAGTAAACTTTGGTTTGAGAATACTGCATTTTAGACTCACTATTAGATAAACAGGCGAGTAAGATATTTTACTGCTGCAGTTTCTCAAAACAAGATCTTTAAAAATAATAATTTGTCATTCTACTTAGCCTATACATTTTGACTTAAAATGTAAGATCACACAAAATTGTGGAATATTCTTAAATTCAGCCTCAATTTGAAGAGTCAGTTTCTTACCTACCTCTCTGACCTGCTGACTCCCCACTAATCTGCCCGCTCCCTCCGTTCATCAGGCTCCGGTCTGTCCATGACTCCCGCCCGACCCGCCCTACCATCGGTGGTCGGGCTTTCAGCCTTTCTGCCCCCACACTCTGAAACTCCACCCCACAGTCCCTTCGCCTCGCTTCCTCCCTCGCCTCCTTCAAAGCCGGTCTCAAGACCCTTCTCTTCGACCGTGCCTTTGGTCTCCCTCCCACCTCTCTGTCTTCTCTAACCCCTACACCACCCCTCCCCCATGATCGGGCCCCGACACCTGACTGTTCATCGCTTTGGGATGTGCTTCTGACGTGAAAGGCACTCTATAAAGATAATTTTGTTGTTGTTCTTCAGTTCTTAAAAGATTTGGCTTCCAAATTAAAACTCAATTGAAGAATTTTCCACAATAAATCACAATTTGAAATTTTAAGACAAAATGGTCTTTATGTTAGGATGGTGGAATTTTGTTGCTTACAAATTCCATTGCAGAATAAATAACAGAAACATATAAGATTAGCTCTCAAAGCTGTGATACAAAAGAATTGAACAGAACACAAACACAATGTAATAAAACAGGCTAAAAGGCTTTTTGTGTCCCAAGTCAGGACAAAAGCCATCACTCTGATACCTGGCACAGTATAAAATAAATAAAAGCATTGACCTATTAAAACTTTACCAAACTGTTTGCTCCCATGTTCTCTGCCCTGCAAGCTCCACCATCAACGGTTGGTCTTTGAGGCTTTCTGCGCCCACCCTCTGGAACTCCAACGCAGAACTCCTCCGCCTCACGTCCTCCCTTGCCTCCTTCAAGGCCCATCTCAGAACCTTCCTCCTTGACCGTACCTTCGGTCATCTTCCCACTTCTATCCCGCTAACCCTCCACCCCTCTTGATTCCAACCCCAAGCTTGGGTGCTAACCCTTCACTGTCCAGCTCCTTGGGACGTCCTCTCTATGTGAAAGGCACTATATAATTGCAATGTGCTGTTGTTGCACAGAGTAACATTTAATACATAATGTGTTAGCACTCCAGAAACAACTGCTATAAAATCTATTTGATTTGGGAATTATTGCAATAGGAAGTTTGTTGATTTCTGCAAATACAGTCGTTTTTGAAGTTGGCTTTCACATATTGACTTGCTTGGCCTTTGCCTTAATTACAATATCACGTCAAACTCAACAACATTCACAGGAACCTAATTGTTCCCAATTGTTAACTAGGATGAGGGGATCTGCAAAAATATTGATTCTTATAGAAAATCCACCATGGTACATTTTGTGTTGATGTGACGAGGAATGCTTGAAGGAGAAACCCAAACAG